TTTAAGTGTTGTGTTACTTTGTCAAATGTGTATTACATGGTTTATAACTAAGTTTTAATAATAAGAAGAAAAGTAAAAAAATATATATAAACTATAACAATGAAACTATAAAAGAAAAATTATCCGCAAAACTTTATTAAAATAATATCTAAATTATAATGTGTGACATACATTTTCTTTATATAATAAATAAGTGATTTCAAATCCACTTGTCAATTTATTATGTTACCAACTATTTTTTTTTGTTTATCCCGAAAATTTTCCTATTTCAAACAATGTTGGACAAAATCTACAAAAAAGAGTTTGGTCTAACAATTTTTTCCATTAATAGGTAAACAACAAGGTGTTTTCGACAATATGATGACAAAGAAGACAATTCATTTTCACCTTCTGTATATGTTTTATGATGATAATAAATAAGAGTGGATGTAAATTATTGAGCGTTAAAAACAAATAATGATTAAAAATATTAATTATAGATAAATATGAGACTTACCAACATAACATCAAATATTGTATATAAAAAATGTTTTGCAAAATTATAGTTAATGATTATGTTTTTGTTATTATTTACCTTATTTTAAATTGTCAACCATATAATATACGAGTATTAACATACTAAAATAATATATTGTTATCGGTTGTTTGTTGCTATGTAAATGTTTGATGACTTTAAAGAAGTTTTGTTTTTATTTTAAAATATGATAAATTACATGAACGGTTTCTGTGGTTTTTGATAGTTTGTGTATTTAGTCCCTAACTTTTTTTAACTTAGAGCATCAGTCAATATAAAAAGTCAAAATTACCCTTACTAACCTTTTTTACTTTTTTATCTATTAATTTATTAAAAGACAATAAAAATATTTCATTATTTATCCTATGCCTTATTTTGATTATGACATATACGCCTATACAACTATACCCAAAGATGACATCTCACATTATAACTCAGCCGTTCTTGTCCACCATTACCACAATTAGGGATGTTCATAACAGGATATCCGAAAATTCGGATATCTGAATTCCGGATATCCGAAATTTCGAATAGTTGGTTTTTGGTAACCGATTTCCGTATCCGAAATTTTGGGATATCCGAAATTTCGGATAGGGATTCGGATACCAAAACGGATATCCAAAAATTTAAAATTATGTACAAATTTGAAAGGCATATGAAGTTTTTAAATTAGAAATACATATTTTTAAATTAGAAATGCATATGAAGTAATATATGTATTTAATTAAGGGTATTATGAATATGTTTTAGTAACTAACATTCATATTATAAGACATATGTGATTAAAATAAAAAATAGTGTATAAATTAAAATCAAAATTTTCGGATATCGGATATCCGAATTATCCAAAAATCCTTAAAATCACTATCCAATTCCGATTCCGAAAAATCGGATATCCGATTTTTCGGATAATTCGGATTCGGAATTTCGGATCAGAATTTCGGATACAGATATTTTTGAACACCCCTAACCACAATAGACCCCTTCTTCTTGCTCTATGCTCTCCTAACCTGGAACTTGCATCTTGCTCTATTCTCTCCTAACCTGGAACTTGCATCTACTGAAACCTGGAGGATCCCTATAGAAACCTTAACATTGGTAGCTGAATCCAAGAAACAAGTTTGGAAACCTCATACAACAATATCTCATCCAAAAAAAACAAACCTTCTCTAAATCGAGTTAAGTGCTTCTCCCATGAATCAAGTAAAATGATTCTCTTGAACTTGAGGCATCGGCCAAAATCCCTAAACAAATCTCCATCGACTGTGAATCGACCCTTGCCTTTATCGTTAGCAAAAATAGTTAAAGAAAGAAAGAAAGGAACAACATATGATGTCCTTTACATCTGATGGAGAATGAGATGATCGACGAAGGTTGTCTTCGGTTCAAACCCACTCCCATCAACTACATCTAGGGTTTTTTGCACACCGGAATCAGGTTTCTAGAATTCAGTCGTTTCTATTGGAGGTTTCAGTTGTATACAATTGTTTTCTCTCCATATAGCTTGGTTAATCGATTAAGAATAGAAAATTCCTTAAATATTTGTCCGCCTGTCTTTCTCTCAAAAGCTCGAATTGCAACGGTTGGGGGGGGGGGGGTTCTAGAACTCAATTTTGGTGTTGGTGGTCGCCGGTTTTGAATAGATAGTTGTCACGAGAATTAAACATGGTCAATTCAAAGGACGCGAGGCATGAGAGAGAAATAACAAAGAACTGATCGTGGGCCATGTTTTTTTTTCTTAATTTATAAATAACAACAAAAGTTATTAGTTAATTAAAATAAACATGTAAGGGCAATATAATCAATTTAAGTCGGTCAGGGATTAAATCGGAAACAAAATAAAATTACAAGGATGAGCCAAGAATTAGGGACTAAGCATGCAAACTACGTCAAACCAAAGGGACCATTCATGTAATTTTCCCTTTAAAATATTAGTAAAAGTTAAATTCATACGACCCCTAAATTTTGGATGTTAGACACGCTCAAATTGGTATTCATTTTCTGTAATAACGGATGCAGGTTGCAAGCTGATTGTAACGGTTAGCTCGTTTTGATACAAACAAAGATGGAAATTTGATACCCTCAAAACTTTTTAATCACCGTGATTGTATTCAGACCCTATAATCAATCTTTTTCTTGATAGAAATGGGGAAAAAAGCGGTGCTAATCGGATGTAATTACGCCGGAACAAAGGCGCAGCTCAAGGGATGCGTTAATGACGTCCAGAAAATGCATCGTTGTCTGATCGATCGTTATGGGTTCTTGGAAAACGACATTAAGGTCCTCATTGATGCCGACGAATCATATACTCAGCCCACCGGTCGTAACATCCGCAGCGCTCTTTCTGATCTTATCAAATCCGCGGAGTCCGGCGACTTCCTCTTCGTCCATTACAGTGGCCATGGCACTCGACTCCCTGCAGAAACCGGTGAAGATGATGATACAGGCTACGACGAGTGTATTGTCCCATGCGATATGAATCTCATCACCGGTATGTTTTGTCTTTTGTTTTATCGGTTAGTTTTCACGTTGATCTTTGATTTGAAGCTGAAATATTGTTATCAAATGTTCAATTAAAGATTTTATGTATGATATGTCTATTCTTTTCTTTAATCTTTGCTTTATTCTGAATCCTCCGAGGATTACACTGTTCCATATTCATTAGACATGCGTTAATAATCCTTCTTATGTTTCATTGATCCATATGAACCTCAAAAAATCATCTTCTACATGTAACATTATCGATTTGACTTTGTGAGAGTATTTCAGATGATGACTTCAGGGAGCTTGTAGACAAGGTACCTCAAGGTTGCAGAATAACCATCGTATCAGATTCATGCCACAGTGGAGGACTCATAGATGACGTTAAAGAACAGATAGGTGAGAGCTTCAAAGACGAATCAGAAGTTCAAGGAGATGGAAACTCGGCTTCTGGAATTCGAGGTTTCTTACAGAAAACTGGAGATGCAATAGAGTCTGCATTTAAACGTGACGATGGTGATGACGCAGACGATGTAAGTGTAAATAACAGATCTTTGCCTCTTGACATCATCGTGGATATACTAAAGCAGAAAACCGGGAAAGAAGATATAGACGTTGGGAACGTTCGGCCAACTTTATTCGATTTATTTGGTGAAGATTCAACTCCTAAAGTTAAGAAGTTCATGAAGGTTCTCTTCAACAGCCTCCAAGGTGGTGACGGCGGTGCGGATGGTGGTGGTGGTGGTGGGTTTTTGGGAAAGGTGAGTGAACTCGCTCAGAGTTTCTTGAAACCGAAGCTGGAGAACAATGCAGATTATGGGAAACCCGCCATGGAAGCAGAAGTTGAAGGTAAACAAGATGCTTATGCGGGAACAAAGAAAAAGAAGCTGCCGGAGAATGGGATTTTGATTAGTGGTTGTCAGACTGATCAAACGTCGGCTGATGCAACTCCTTCTAAGAACGACAAGGCTGAATCTTATGGCGCATTAAGTCATGCAATTCAGAGGATTGTTGAAGAGTCTGAAGGGAAGATAACCAATCGTGAGGTTGTCTTGAAGGCTAGGGAATTAATGCACAAACATGGGTTTAAACAACGGCCTGGACTTTATTGTGAGGATAAACATGTTGATGCTTTTTTCATCTGCGATTAATGGTACGATGAAGACGCTAATAATGATTCTTGTGTTTTCGTTCAGTTTATTGGAATTTTTTTAGAATCTATTTGCGGATTTTAAGAAGAAAAATAGATGTGTCGAGTGTTGAGGATGCGGAGTTGGGGTATATATACACAATAGTATAACATGAACCATTGTTTCCTCGTTGCACACTAAAGTTTCTCTCTTCTAATAAATGACACCTGAAAGGTGTCACTTTTTTAGAATGTTTCTTTGAAATGTCACATTTTTGTTATGACCTTTATTATTTCCTTTTTTATAACAAATCAAATTCAATTCATCTTTTCAAAATACAAAATCTTATCCTAATAATATAATTATGTTTATTTTGTTTAACAAATTAATTCATAATTACTTACAATTACAATCGATAATATCTTTGTTTTTTTTACATTTACTATTTTTTTTATTTATATAAAAATTTTAAATATACCGACCGTGATTTCCCAAAATCTGAAGTTTAGTCCCCATGGTTTAAAAACCTCATAGATGGTCCCTGTGCTTACAAAACTTTTGACGATTGATCCTTATTGCTAACTCCGTTAAGTTTGTCCATTAACTGAAGGGTATTTTTGTCATTTCACTACAATAGGGACCATTTATGATGCTTTATCTTATATATATATATATATATATATATATATATATATATATAATTATTTAATATTTAAAAGGTCCTCTCTCTCTCTCTCTCTCTCTCTCTCTCTCTCTCTCCCTCCAGTTCAGGGTTTTCATCTCTTTACCCCAGTATTCCTTTTGTTCGATTAATGGGAAATCTGAACCCTATTTCTTCATATCTACCTTAATCTTTCCATCTTTAGAAACGAACGATGGAGGTTAACGGAGACAAACATGAAAAAAACCTTGTGAAGCTCAAATGTTCGGTTCAAAACTACGATTGGGGTCGAATTGGCTACGATTCGAGGGTTGTCAGGCCGTTTGAAAGGAACTGTGGGGGTCAAATTAAAGAAAACAAGCATTACGTTGAGTTTTGGATTGGTACTCATGTCTCCAGATCCTCGTTTTTTGAAGAGACTGATAATGTAAGTTTGAAGAACTGGATTTTGCAAAACACAACAAAAGGGTAATAGGTATATATCTTCGTTCCTTCAACAGATTGGGAAGGGGAAACGAATAGAAGCATGAATCGAAGGCTCCGGCAGTGAAGTTATCAAATAGCAAGGAGGGGTGGGGAGATCGATCTTCGGCGACCCTCTAAGGGTTTAATTTGCAATATTGCTGGTTGAGAACCAAGGGAACATGTCTTCGTATTCATCTGATCGGGTAATGAAAGAGAGATTGTGGGAGGTTAAAGGTTACTTAACCCGATGAAAGGAAGCACTTTTGGTACTTGACTGGACCGAAGAAGGAAAGGGGAACGGAAGCAGCGGGGCTGCTGGTGGTCTCGGTGGGTGCAGCGCGGGGCTGCTCAAGCAGCTTCTCGACTACTTGCTTCTGCTCCGGCAATGAATCACGAAGGGAAAGGGGAAGGTTGGTCTGAGAGGATCAAGGAAGCAGCAACAAGTCAGGTGCAGGGGAGATGCGAAGGAGGCTGTTGCCTTCTTGACTGTCGGAAAACTCCACCTCCAGTGGAGATTTATTAACTAAATCTAAAGAAAAGAGAAGGGGTGAAATAGATCTGCATAATGCTTTTAGGCGGTGTTCTTGGAAGCTTCATCAGCGGACAGAAAATGGAAAACGAGAGAGAGAGAGAGAGAGAGAGAGAGAGAGAGAGAGAGAGAGATAGAGATAGAGATAGAGAGAGAGAGAGAAGGAGAGAGAGAGGTGGGACCTTTTACATATTAAATAATTATATTTAATTTTTTCTTTTTTTAAAAAAAAAGATAAAACATCATAAGTGGTCCATGTGGCAGTGAAGTTACGAAAATACCCTTTGGTCAACGGACATAACTTAACGGAGTTAGCAATAAGGACCGATCGTCAAAAGTTTTGAAAGCACAGGGACCATCTATGAGGTTTTTAAACCATGGGGATTAAACTTCAGATTTTGGGAAACCACAGGGACCATTTATGATGTTTTTTTCTTACTTACAATTACAATCGATAATATCTTTGTTTTTTTTAAATTTACTATTTTTTTATTTATATAGAAATTTTAAATATACCGACCGTGGTTTCTACGGGTTATAACCTAGTATATGTATAAAACGTTGGTATTTCACTATTTCTTTTAATTCAGTTCACATTTGTCTACTTAATTTATTTATGCTTTTATCTACTAATTTATATCAAGTACAAATTCAAAATTAAACCGAAATTTGATATATATATAATATATATCTATAATATATATATATATATATATATATATTTATATATATATATATATATATATATATATATCTATATATATATATAGCCGTTTACCCGCGCCAAGCGACGGGTGTGAATAAATTTTTCAACAATTAGTTTTTATTGGATATTAGTTATTTCGCGCAAATACTAAAAGATACCCTTGTCATAAATCGAACATCAAAAATTTTCCAATTATGTTCGGTTTTGACCATTCACCAGGACTATTTTAGGTTACCCGGTTTGCCAAACTGAATTTGAAAATGCATTTCAAAATCAACAAAATCGAAAAAAAAACCTATTGTTTTTTGTGTCATTCAATAAAAATAAAAGGTTACCATTTTAAAAAAAAATGAAATTGAAAGCATAGTATAGCATATTGTCTTTACGGGTATGCTTTATTTTACGTTGTATTGCAACCTATACTCACATGTTATAAAAAATATTAATTTAAATTGATTACTTACAACCTAAACTATGAATGATAAAAGCTATGAATAAAAAAGTTTGTTATGTAAAGGTCATTATGCTATTTTATAGTGTAATTGGAACGATCCCTATAAATATGGCCACTGAAACTTTGGTTTGAGGTGTTTCCAAACACCTGGTGCAATATAACATGATTGATACTATTCTAGATACAAAAATGTAACATCCAGAAATTTACAAGCAATTTAAACTTTTCAAAAACAACCCATATTCATTAAGTTATTACAAAAAGGTTTTCAATTCATTTATTATCAGAGTATCCCAGAACATCAACATAAAACTGAGGAGCGGTACGATCACGCCTTCGCTTTGCCACGATCTCCTGAAGTACCTGAAACAATACACTGAAACTGTAAGCCCGAAAGCTTAGTGAGTTACCCCCAAAATACAAACCACAATACCATACACATATCATATCATATCATAAATAGAACAGCCATGCATATCGAGTCTACAGTATGACTGGTCCGCCCGCACTGGGCCTTCAGTCCACCTGTTCCACTCTCTGAGTCTTCAGTGTGACTGGTCCGCCCGCAACGGTCTTTCAGTCTGTCTGGTCCACTCTCTGAGCCTCGGCACGTCTGGTCCGCCCTCTTCAGACCTTCAGCCTATCCGGACCGCTCGCCGGGCCTTTGGCCTAACCGGTCCGCCCTGGTTATGTTGGCTTACAGCACAAAGCAGGACCCGCCTCAACCCAACCCCAGTCCAACAACCATGTGCACATAAACATATAATCATATGACATCTCACAACTAATCAAACCGATCCAGCATATCACATAACATAGCAACATCCTAACCAGGATACCGACCTAACCGGTCACTAGCATAGCATCATCCTATATACCAGGATACCGACCTTAACCAGGTCTCTACCGCATACCATCCTAACTACCAGGATGCAAACATAGCAAAGCAATAACATAACAAACAATACCCGGATTTCCATCCGATAAAGGGCCGACCTTGGTGCCGTAGACCCTGTCAGTATAGTGAGAATAACTCACCTCGCAAATGCCGACTGAAAGGTTAAGATCAGCTGCTCCGATCACCGACACGAACTCCACCACCGAACAATACCAAAGAACCAATTCCATAAATACCAAAAATTACCAAAATACCCTTGGAAGTCAAACTGGTCAACCCTTGGTCCAAGTCAAAGTCCTCAGTCAAAGTCAACCTTCCTGGTTGACCCTACTCGCGAGTCAACCCGTTGACTCGTCGAGTCCCTATGCTCAGAAACTCCAATGTCACGACTCAACTCGCCGAGTCGCCCCAAGACTCGCCGAGTCCAACAAGTTCCGAGTCCCTTCTTGCTCAACTCACCGAGTCATCCCTCGACTCACCGATTCACAGCTCAACCAGAAAAGGTTAGGGTTCCACGACCAGACTCGCCGAGTCCAAGCATAGACTCGCCGAGTCCCAGGCAATCTTCAACAGACTCGCCGAGTTGTTCTTCCAACTCGTCGAGTCCATGCACATATTCATACAACTCGTCGAGTGCACCCATGTGACTCGCCGAGTCCAAACGTGACATCTTCATTCATACGGTTTCAGGCCATTTCATTGCTTCCAATACATAGATCTGGACTCCTAGGGCCAGATTCACACGTAAAGTTTCCAACTTTACGTGCATGCAAGGCTCAACAAGCTCCAACCAAGCTACAAGAAGGTTTTGGGACAAAGGCACTCTCAATCAAGCCCCATGGCCGATGCTTTCTGCCCTCATGGCTCCAATACAACCTAGATCTGAAGTTGCAACTTCAGATCTAACCTCTAAACCCGAAATGGATTCCAAGCAAGCTAAAAATTCCCAAAACAACAACCAAGAATGGATCTAGAAGGAGAAAACTCAAGGTAACAACTTGTTACCTCAGAAATGTGTCCAAGAAGGAGTAGATTCCGGATCTACAATGATCTCCCGATGCTAGCCTCTTGATCTTCTAACTTTCTCCTCTTAAATTCTTCTTCCAAGCTCAAACTTTAACAATGGAGGCTCACACACACTAATTAGGGTTTCTGGAACTCAAATGGGCAGTAAAGAGGCTGAGGGTGGCTATAATGTGCTTTATATAGGGCACAACTCCCGGAATTAGGGTTTTCTCCCTTCAGTACCAACTCGCCGAGTCCACTTCCGACTCGCCGAGTTGGTCACTTAACACATGGCCATAATCGAAACTCGACTCGTCGAGTCTATCCATCGACTCGCCGAGTCGACCTTCCTTATTCACACTAAGAACCCTGAACTTGCACTTCTGAACTCGGGGTGTTACAATTCTCCCCCACTTAAATTAGGCTTCGTCCTCGAAGCCTACAACAACACCCCAGACAATACTCCCACAATATAGCTCCTGGTCTCAACCGGCCCAGGTTCCTCCAACACTACTATCAAACCCTTATAAAGTCCAACTCTTTCTCACAGAGTCATGACAACCGCTTCAAACCGGCCACCGACTTCTTTCTCTGATAACAACACTTATCAACCAATGATCACTCGATGATTCTTCCATCCTTCCAAATCACATAATCACTTGTCTCTTACAAGCTAGATATCACCCTGAACCACCGGGTCCTAACCCGGTACCAACTGCTATCCCTTTCCTCGCTTGGCATAACCTTTATCGAATTCACTTCTGGGACTCATCCCGTTTCCTTTCCGAATCCAACTCGTTTCTTTTCGTGCTGACAGGATGACACATCCTTCAGCTCCTGAGCAACTCCCATGAGCTCTCCTCCGCAATCACATACACATGCAGAGCCTGCTCTCCATCCTCGGGTTGGAAAAACCCGACACACTGACGATACCACCAGACATCCCCAGGATGAATTACCACTATATACATAACCCATGATCACTCCCATACCTGGATTCCCAGGTCCTACCCTTGCATCCCTTCCGGACTCCTCTGGTTCCATACCAACGGAATTCCTTCCGTGACCTTAACGGACACCCAATCCGGATGTGCTTCCATACCGCTGACACATTCACAGTGCTCAACAACCATAATTGAAATACTCTCAATCATCCATTCTCATTACTGCTTTCACATACAGAGTCTTCAGCATGACTGGACCGCCCTTCCAAGCCTTCAGTCTATCTGGACCACTCTCAGAACCTTCATCATGTCTGGACCGTTCCCTGAACCTCCGGTCTACTCCATCATCATGATCAATACTTGGGGCCAGACCATATCGATTACTATTGCACGACGACGATCTCCTAACACATCCAGAATCTTCAGTATGACTGGACCGCGTTCCCAGGCCTTCAGCCTATCTGGACCACTCTCATAACCTTCAGCATGTCTGGACCGCCCTCCTGGGCCTTCAGCCTGTCTGGACCATTCCCTGAGCCTTCGGCCTGACTGGTACGCTTTCCGGCCTTCAGTCTATCCGGAACGCTCAAACTATCATACATCATCCCGGACTATCCTTCCTGGGAATCTCTCCCGCACATACTGTTCTAGCCCTCTAGGGGTTCCGAACTCTAACTTTATTCCATCTACTCAGATCCCGGCCTAATCCTAGGCCTCACAACAATAAATCACCTTTTCCGAAAACCTTGGTCTGTACCCCATCCCATTTGTCTGTCACTTACTCATACCAGCCCACACTCTTGGCTGACTGAAACACTGCTGAATCCCAAACAGCTAATCAACCTCTAATGTCTGTCGATCCTCCTGAGAATTTTCCAATCTCCCCCATTTAGAGCACTGACTACCAACCACCGGTGACTCAACCGGCATAAATCAATCATCCCTACTCAACATACTCCTCTTATCCCTGAACTGATTTCCTCTGAA